TACACCTTTTTTTTTAACACTAACCAGGCCCCCTAAAAGAATCATTTACCAACAACATAAAAATTGTATCTCTGACTAAATTCAGAAACTCCTGCTCATGATTTAGTAACTCCGTAAACCCAGACGTAAGTAAGCACATTGTCGGAAAAACTCGACTAGCGTTCAACTTCTGAAGGACGACTGAATGAGTAACTGAGACATCCCCAGACACGCTTGCCAGGAACGACCTGTTCTTAAAACGTGAAATGCAGAGTCCACAGGCGAGGCCTCCCGGACTGACTTTTCCCTTTTTCTTATCTGAGGTTATGGACCTCAGGGGAGTGGGCAGGGTTACAAGGTCAAAGTCTTTTCCTCCTCAGAACTCGCTGCTTGCTGGGAGAGGGTCGCCTGGAATAGACGTGCTTTAGAGAAGAGGTTGGAGGGGGTCAGGATTTTGATTCTGTTAAGCAACAGCTGGTTTGAGTTTCTCTCCACTTTAGTCTCCTGCTCCCTTCCTCACAAATCCAGGGAGAGAAAAGAATTTGTTCAGAAGGAGCCGGCAACATAAAATACACCTAGTCCTGTGGTGCTTTACGGACGTCATCTTTGCTACAAACTGAACGTGAAGCACTATAGGCGGAGGCTAGATTTTATAAAATGAACTATACGGGAAATACGACCAACGCTTTAGTCAGGAGGACCTTTTAGAATGTGGGATGTGTACCTGGAAATGTCTTTTAATAGTATTTTCTAACTAAAACTTTTTAATGGAAATAAGTATAAGAAAGACCTCCGGGGTCTTTGGAGCCTGACTCCAAGGAGGAGTCGTGACAGATGTTAAAGCATGCCAAGTGTGCGTTTCCTGTTTCTGGACTGGCGACCATGTCTGTCTCCAAGTGGATGTGCCTGCCTTTGTGCGACAGATGTCTGCTCAGTTCTGCTTTACTCAGTTCTGTGAGATCCGCCCGTGCCACAACTCTGCCGGGGGCCAGGGACACGGCATTTAGATACAGGGCGCTCAGGGGCTAACAGGTGCATGAACGTGAACTCGGTCTAGTATGGCTTTAACCCACAACGACGGCCGCCTCTTCCAAACAGTTTACACCTGATGAAAATCAGGTCTGCTCAAATAACAGTGTTCTATGACAAATTCATAAGTCCAGTACTTAAAATATATGTAATA